ATAGTTTAAAAGTATCGTAGTAATTTAGTGGAATGTAATAGTATGTAGAATATATCGCAGTATATTAAAACTATTGAAAAAGAGTAAACTGTACAGAATTTTATGTTTCAATTCATTGTCAGTCAAGTCGGGCCAAGAAGATAGAGTCAAGATAGATATATGTTGAATAGAATGATTTATTCACTGTTTTCGTTTCATAAATTATTTTCCCGTGGTCACTACAAGCAAAATTTCAAAGTGTAATACGCGCTGATAGCTAACTTGCATATGACAACGCGCTGCGCACGAAATGCAGCGATTATCTATAAGAGTGTAATGTGGAAGGGATGCTTTAGCAACAATTTTAGTTAACTTTTCTTTCTCAAACATGTAATAACATGTCATTTTTATATTTATTTTGCGACTATGCACAACACAAGTGCGGTATAAACGATGCGTCATGCACCGCGACGCGTATAGTGTGATACTGATAATTCATTTTTAAAAGATGCGATTTCGGAACATAATAAAATCATATATGGTTGAATTCAGCGTAAAAAATGCTACAACTTTTGTCATTACAAAAATTTTGAAATTCGAAAAAATAATAACAAGGGGTGGAGGTAAATAAAAAAAAATTACATTTTTTGAAAATCCAACTACACAGTTATAAAGCCTGTTACAAGCCATATAACTTTTATTTGAAATATTTTTTTGTATCTCCTACGGTTTTGGCGATAGTTACACACAAAGAAAAAAAACCGTTTTTTTCAAAGAGGTGTTTCACCCCTTAAATTTGAGATAGAGCCGCTATAAAAAAATACGCGTCTCCTCAAATTGTATGTTTTACAACATATTTCAAGGAGAATCAAATCGGGGGGGGGGGACACTTGTGAAAGTTAAAGTTAACGGCCTTGAAAATTTAACTTAGTTAAGATACAAGTTAATCCATAATGAAATTAATTGAATTAAATGTTAAGTTAATAAAAAAAAGCAATTAAAAAGTTAAAAGTTAAATTTGTTTTATTTCATGATTTTAGGGTTTCACAGTCTTACAAATAACGGAAATAACAAATATACATTTTATTTAGAAACATACTCTATATACATATTTTGTTCGCATACGAAACGGGCCATTCTGAGCTTTGTGATTGGTCGAATTCTTCAGTTTAGAAGTATACGACCAATTACACTACACGGAATATGGCTTGTTTCGTATGCAAACAAATTCGCGCGAGTTCGAGAATCAAGGCCTCATATAATGTAGAATTACTTGTAGGCAGGCGCGCAGCCTTTCGCGACGCCTTTATTTATGGCATGGCTAACTTCAAGAAAGTTAATAGTTACCGATAAAATGTAACTAAATTAAGTTAAAAGTTAAGAGTTTAAAATGTAACTAAGTTAAGTTAAAATTATTTAACTTTTTAACTTAACTTTTATCTTTTTAACTAGACACTATCCAACCCTGGTATATAATATTTTGGTATTGTTATATGTCATATAAATAATAATGACAACTAAAAAAATCGAAAGTTATTATATAACAGCAGAGGAATTTAAAAATAAACAAAAAAGTTGCGTGAATAAAGTGTATATCGCTAAATCATTATCATGCACACGTATGACCTTGCTTATAGCCACGTCAGTCGATTTTTATCAGTCTATGCATGAAACGATGCATTGAAAAATACAATAATACTTTCAATTATTAAGTGAAATTTACAGAACATTTAGAACGTAGAAGTCTGCATTTATAAAAAATAAAAAACTTAAAATACTAGTCTACTTTTTATCGTCAAGAACGATAGGTATTTTCGACTTACGTTTCGGAAATCTCGGATCGATTCTAGCACGCGTCCACATGTAGATAGTCTTAACGAACAACATTGTTAAAAGAAGTAGCCAACAGCTCATTGAAAAAGGTTTTGTGAGCGCCCAGAAATTAGTGATAGCTCGCGGTCGCGGTACCAGAAAATGTATAAAAATCTGATACCAAGGTTGTGTCATATTTACGAACTCGTTGGTATCTTGCGTTAACCAGATGTTTCCAAATGTTAAATGTATCTAAGAGACAAAATTTCATTAATAATCTATTATTAAAAAAATTAGGGTATGTTTATAATGAGCGGAATAAATTTCAAAAAGCATAATATTGATAGAGGGTGATAAAGTATTATGATAACCGGGACGTTACTAGCGTTCACTATCACGGTCGATTTTATATTATAACAAATTATTAGAATTTAGTTTACTTAACTAACAAAATCATACCTTTTGCTCTCGTAAAAGCTGGATGACGCCACCATTCCAGTATGTGTCATTTACGCGTCTACCATACCTAAATTAGTTTTTGAAGTTAATATTTGCTGTACACATACACACATTAAACATAATGAAGAAGCACTGTTACCTATAGCGACCTGGCGGCTTCCGTATTGTCCAAGTAAAATTCAACTTCTCCGCCAGCAGCAGAAATATTTTCATTTCTATTCCATCTTTTTCTAGATCTGTAAAATATGTGATTAAAAATATGCTACTGTCATCGCTTTACTTTTTATTTTATTATGTTTTTCTAAACTATGAGCAATTAATTAATATATTTAATTGAAATATTAATTAACAAATTAGACATTTTAGGTATAATTAATCTCATTTACCATTATCTGCTAAAAAAACATCTTCTTCGTTACCGTTAATCACTTTCTTGATCGTTGTCTTGAGATACGAAACGGGTGGTTGATGAAATGAAGATACTTGCAGCTCTCTACCTCTCATATTGATTATGTTGAATTCTGACATCAATTCCTCATAACTGTAATTTCAACCATAAGAAGAATTAGATTTGCATTATAATTTGTATATTATAGTTCTTATTTAAATTATATATAAATTTGAATATATATCGCGAAGAAATTTGTAATGTATAAGTAAATAAATGTTAATATTATATATGCATATATAAAAGTTATTTAATCTAGTAATTGATATCGGTATACTTGTAACATTCTATACTTAAGATGTAACAGGACAGCAAAAAATATGACAAAAAAACATTATTCAATGTTTTATTTACACGAATTATATAAATGATCGATATTCAATAAGAACTATAGATTATAACTTACCTGTGTACCTTTAGAAAGAATCTAGGCTCCAAGTAATTTTCGGACAAGGTGTAGATGCTAGATCGTGAGATAATATTCGCATTAGAATTTCCGTATAAAGAGACATTGAAAAGTTCCGAATTATTTTTTAATTCGCCATTGATAATGATAAGAATTTCTGTCGTTGAGATGGACGAGGGTACTCTATCGAAAGAATATATTTATCTGTCATAAATTTAATTACATTGTGTGAGCTGTTATTATAATTATTTCAAAGACGACGGAGATTTAGATTTTCATATTATCATCGCTTTACTTTTGCATAGCGTTCTTGATCTCCTTATCAGTCGGTCCCAGCAAGAAATAACCCTGACAGTCATAAATTTTTTTACGTAAAAGATATTCATGCGGATAAATAGCTATAAACTGATTGAATAATATTTCCACATCGCGAACTAAGTCTGAAAGTAAAATTTATTTTTTAATCTGTGCACGTGTGTTTCTCTCTTTGAAACAAAAAATTATCCCGATGCGCGTATACCAACCACTTAAATAGATATTGCAACATTGGGAATAAAGAAAGGTTTTCTTGATTATTGTCGTGAAATTTTCTGTTGATATCCACGAGTTCACGTTAGCCATCATAATATGTTCTTTCCCAGCTAAAAGTGGGGTGATGATGAGTGATAAAATACCAAATATTGAATTCACTTTCATGATGAACCATTATCAAGTGACATGTTTATAATTTATAAAATTAAATTTATATGGATAATTTTTATTGAATATTTTTATAGATAATATGAGTTAATAAGTAAATGTATTTTTGTTAAATTAAACGTAACACTTTTTTTCAAATTGTTATTAAATAATTGGTGCACTCGTTGATTACATTCGCGTTGATTATTTAATACAATGTTCTTCTCTTTAACATGCCAATGTTAAGTAAAATTATTAATATTAATTATGATTAACATTAATTATGATTAAATTAATTGGTATGAATTATCCAAACAAGCTTCTCGGATATGAATATCAATCACAAATTTAGAAATTTTTTTTACTTGTTACACTCAACAATAACGAATTAGATCTTAACACATATAAATTTGATATTAGAATAAGAATCGACTTGACGAGTTATTCTAAGCAAAGTACGTGTAGAATAGCACAGCCGAGCAAGCGAATCTACCAGTACGTGCAGTTCACAGTTTTATGTATACTGGGGTGGTCGGGGTGCAGTTTGACAGCAGAGAGATAACTGCTTCGATAGCGAACCCTCTATAAACACGTAGTTACGGCCAACGTGGTTGACATAAATGTAATTACGTGGCAAATAGGAAACATAAGTGTAATTATGTTCTCCATACATCACTTTATACTTAATTGGTGACTCTTGAAAAATTAACCGATAACACTCTTTGACATCAATAACGCACGTGCTTTTACAATTTATTGCTGTCATGTAGAATGATGGTTATATAACAACCCGCGGTTTCCTTGCCAGTGTCCTTGATATTACCGATATGGATCCGCGTAGGGATATTCGAAGTGTGTTCAACAATTATATAGATAGACAGTGATAAGCAATGAAATATGCAATGTAAATGTCGTTAAATCGGTATTTTGAATCATACGGATTTATATGACAATGCGTTTGCGTGCCATCAGGAATCTGATTTCATTCAATTTAATGAAACTTTTATGAGGCATCTAAATTTAATGTTTTATATTTGTAGAGGAATTATAGAGGAATCGGAAAAAGATGCGTATGCCATTTATAATTTCCAGATAGAATAATTATTGCAAACGTAAACAAATTATACATTATTTAAATTAATGTTATTTATTTCAATAACAGGGTTTTTTGTAAAGTTACGCAGCCTCTTTTGTGTGTGTGTGTGTGTGTGTGTGTGTGTGTGTGTGTGTGTGTGTGTGTGTGTGTGTGTGTGTGTGTTTTCTTTTAATACTGGCGCAGAGTCCATCAAAACAAAACACGTTTTTCAAAAAAATAAAATACATTTGATATCATCTTATCTCTATAAGATTATCTTTATAAGTTATAAACAGAAAATAATTATACAATAATGTTAACAGTCTCTCAGGATGGCTTATAAAATAGGCGTTTATAACGATAAAAAATGACACGCAAGAAAATGCACTTATGTATGTATTTACTGAACATTTCTAAAAAACACTGTTTTCAATGACATGCAAGTAATAATAATGATATTTTATCTTGATATATTTGTACTCGCCGGCAAAAGTAACTATGACATAGTACAGTTAATAGCTTGTTATCGCGTATCTGCATATCTCATTTTCCGATCAAATGGTCTCGACTGATTAATGATCGCGAACTAATAGTTTGTAGTCAAAGAGTTAGAAGTATTACACATCTGAATAGAACATATTTATTAATTACATTATTTAAAAAAATTATATTAACCTAGTAAGCTAAATATTAGCTAAATGTTAGATATTATCAATCTGTCAACATTGCTAACATTGCTAACATTTTGTTTTTACAAAAAAAAATTGTTAATATTTAAATTTATTTGTGAAAAAAAACTATCGCACGTTTTAAATTAAAAAAAATATATTATACATTCTACCTATATGATATCAAAAAATGACGCCAGATGGAAATAAAAAATTAAAAAAATCTATTATACATTCTACCTATATTATATCAAAAAATGACGCCAGATGGAAATAAAAAATTATACACATTATTACTACAAAGAAAAAAATTATTTTATATTTCTTATGAAACATATATTAACTAAAAACTCTCTCTAATGTCAATTTTTAAAAATATACAATAAAATTCAATTCTTTCGTGCGTTTGCTTGCTTGGATATTGAAATCTATAAAAGAAATAATATGGTATGTTATACAAATTATAAAATTTAAATTTTTGTTATTATATTTAGATATGTTAACTAATCTATTTAATATTAATACCAACGCATATTATGTTACAGTAAGTAATTAGTATCATACAAAAGAAGATAATCGAGAAAGTGAGACAGAGAAAAAAAGAGACATTTTACAATAAATGATAAAACATTATAATACATCGATAATTCATATTTTTATTTAATATTAGTAATATATTAAAAGAGATAAATAAATTATCTTACTTTATTAAAGATTATATTTTTTTAATATGTAAATATGATAATAAACATTTAAATTTTATAATTTGTATATTACCATATAATTTCTTTTATAGATTTTAATATTTAAACAAGCAAACGCGTAGACGCGTGAGAAAAAAAGAATTAAATTTTATTTTATATTAAAAAAAAATTTTTTTTATATTTTTTTTAAATTGGCGTTAGTTTTTAGGTAACGTATGTTTCGTAGGAAATGTAAAATAATATTTTCTTTGTAGTAATAATATGTATAATTTTTTATTTTTACTTGACGCTATTTTCTGATTCATATTTTTTATGGGTAGAATGTATAATAGATGTTTTTTTATTTATTTAAAATGTACAATAGTTTTTTCCATACATAAATTTAAACATATACAACAGTTTTTTTTATAGGTTTTTATATAACAGCTTTTCTAAAAAATTTTATGTATACAACAACTTTTCTTTATTAAAACAAATATATACGACAGTTTTTTTTTTAAGTATTTGATAAACTTTTAAAAGACGTTCATTTTTAGACGTTTTCTAAATATTTTTAAGACGTGCGTGTTGTTTGGGCTATATTTTTTTAACAATGTTATGACAATTATAGATGCGTGTTGGTTCGAATCGCCCGCCGTTGAAATAGCATTCATTATAAATTCTTATCAAGTGATTTTCTGTAATGGTAAAGATGTCGTTGTTGGCGTTATTTATCACTTCAGTTCTGTCTTACAACATGAGATAGCACATTCTATTTTTTTACATTCTTTCTCTGTGAATTATTTGTTTTCAAGAGGAAGCACGCGATAATATATTGTTGCGAATATATCTTATAGCACACACAAAACGATTTTGGAAATATACTTAAATCGACTGATATACTTTTATCGCCAAGTCACGAAGTCACGAAGTCACTTAAGTTATAAAGTTCATTCTTACAATGAGTGTTTTTGTGATACTGATGAAATCACCATCCATGCATATTTTTAACTTCAGCTTCACAGCGACAGTAGGTAATATTTTAATCATTTGGAGGGAAATAGAAGCTACAAGAACCTTGCTTAGAGTTTTATTCAAAAATGTAATGTTTACTACATACGTGTTTCGGCCATATTTCGGGATGTGCCTATCTTCAGTGTGATTAATATACAAAATTTACTTCACGTCATAATCTGAGCCTTATCAAAACGTATCGGTGTGTGTTGAACGCGATATCGCAGTTAATTATTCCACTTAATTAGAATATTACATACGCATTTCTGAGATCCTGATATATGAATCCACGATGTTTATAACAGTCTTGTAATTATAAAATCAATTTTTCTTTTCGATCTTTTTTTTATTACATACAATTCGTGTCTTCCTTCGTATGTAGTAAACATTACATTTTTATTATAAATAAAACTCTGAGCAAAGTTAATCGGTTTCTGCTCTTGTAGCTTGTTTTTCCCTCCAAATTATTAAATAAATAAAGAGCCAAGGTAACTATTATTTTATTTAATTATTTAATATTTTAATATTAAAGATATATTACTTTTATATTTTGAGCCACAAAATTGTTTTTTAAAGTTTTAATGAATAAATACATAAATAAAGTTATTAAAAAGTTTGAAGTAACAAGAATTTCAAAAATATATTTAGACATTACAATTGATACATATTTTTGTATCACTAAAATCTGTGTTTTTTTAAATTATTTATAAAAGATATAAACTACCATATTACGAGAAATTAATAATTATATTAAGATATAAATCTTATATATCAAGCATAAAAAATTCTTCGTGAAGGAACATGTGCTCAATGTGTTTTATAATGTTGATTTAATAGCAAGATGTTACTCAAAAATTGGATTTGTCGGATTGGGCAATATGGGCAGTCATATGGCGAAAAATCTGTTGAAGAAGGTAAGAGAGAACTACGTTCAATAAATTTCGCCTATTAAATTACTCTTGTGGGTAATTAATTCTTGCGTCTGTCAGGGCTACAAGCTTACTGTATATGACGTGAACAAATCGGCGGTGGCGAATTTAGTGGAGGCGGGTGCAAACAATGCACCAAATGCAGCTGAAATGTCGAAGGATGTTGAAGTCGTTATTTCAATGTTACCTTCGAATCAACATGTTCTCGATGTTTACACCGGCGAAAACGGTACACTCAGGTAAAATCCAAAAATTTATCAAGCCCCGCAGAAAGTCCTGTCATTTGTCATAAAAAAATGTCTTATTTGCCTCGCTGTAATTCCTATACACTTGTTATGATGGAATCGTAATATTTTGCATTCAAAACAACAAGAAGAAAGCAACAGGACTTTTTGCGGATCCTGATACTGATACCTGATATTTTGATACAGTCATATTTATTACAGCTATTAAGTATATTACATATTACAATTCGCGATTAATCAATTTATTAATTTGTTTCTAGTACAGCGAGAAAGAATACTTTATTAATCGATAGCAGTACTGTCGATCCATCTGTATCTCAAACGATCGCATTGCAGGCTCGGAAACATAATTTGAGATTTATGGATAGCCCTGTATCGGGAGGTATGTTACATTTATTTTTAGACGATCGAGCAGGGGATAAAATAAAAAACTCGTAAGAAATTTTTTTTTAAATATAATACTTTACTGCTATACCCAAGTTCTACCGTATATGTATAGTCTGTCAACTTCTCCTCTCGACTTTCGGTATTGTTCTCCGAAGGCTAACAAGTTTGATCAGTTACTCGCACACTTTCGAGCATTAAAGGCTTAACTGACACGCGTATCGAAATAAAAACGGGATACAGCTTGAATCTGGCATAGCATGAGTGGACGAAATCACAACAGATCGACAATTTCAGAAGGCAAAAGCCTACATATTAATGCCATGAATTATAGCTCGATATATCGATATGCTCTAACAAAGTTTTAGTTTTAAAATCTTAGAATTAGAAAACATTATTTGAAATTGCTGGGGTAATGAAATTGATTAAATAATATTTTGTAGCAATTGTTATCTTATCTATAGTAGAAAAGATGAATATTTAAAATCTCTAGATACTTGCATTTATATATATTTACGTAATACAATATTTTTTTTATTTTTGGAATTTTAACAAAAGATAATTTAGATTTTATTCAGTAAATCAAGGTAAATACAGATAAGTTTAAAATAAGAGGAAATAATATAGTGAATAAATTAACATTGACCTAGTAAGTAGATTAGCGTAGAAAGTAAGTAAATATATTAAATTGTGTTGTCTCAGGTGTAAATGCGGCCAAAGATGGGACTTTGACATTTATGGTAGGTGGTTCAAAAGCAGATTTCGACGATGCAAAATCCGTACTCGAAGTTATAGGATCTAGGATTGTACATTGCGGCGATGTAGGCATGGGTCAAGCCGCGAAGTTATGTAATAATATGTTATTAGCTATTAGTATGATTGGCACCGCCGAAGCATTCAATCTGGGACAAAAGTGAGAAACAAACAAGTTGTCTACTGCCTATTTTAATAGTATTTGACTGCATTATGTGTATTCTGTGTTTTAGACTGGGTTTGGATGCCAAAGTGTTAGCCGACATTATAAACTCCAGCTCAGGTAGGTGCTGGTCTTCCGATCTCTACAATCCGGTTCCGGGAATCCTGCCCAATATCCCTAGTTCGAGAAATTATGAGGTGATTTAACGTCTTTGACATCCGTTTTTTTTAGAAGTCACAAAATTAGATTAACTTTGCAGAAGCAGGACAATAGCAGAAATTAAAGTACTTGAAGGATGAATGTAATATTGTAAAATTTTCAATAATTTTGATAACTTTTATAATTTATTTAAAAATGAATAATTTTATCGTAGAAAAATGATTGTTTTATCATATGTTTGTTTAAATATTATCGATATTTATTTATATATCAAACGGCAATTGTGTACAAGTAGCAATTACGAAGCAAGTAACAAATAAACTTTTACAGGGTGGTTTTGGTACAACATTGATGGTCAAAGACTTGGGATTAGTGCAGTCCGCTGCAACCAGAACACAAGCACCGATTCCTCTCGGTTCTTTGGCACATCAAATTTATAGAGCAGTCATTGCGCAAGGATTCTCGACTAAAGATTTCAGTGTAGTTTATCAATTTCTTAAAGGTAAAAATTGAAAAAAGACTAGAATATATTAATTTTATGTTTTTATGATATATGTATATATGTATATATGTATACTGTATATACATACATATTGTCTGTGAATGAAATAAATGAATTTTATATTTGTGTTGTATACAAAAATAAGATGTTTTTTTAAATCCTTTATTGTATGATAACTATCTTGTATTATTTCTTTTACATGAAATCTTGTAGAGGACGCCAGTTAATAGACAGCGATTAATGATTCCTATATCAGTTGAACTGACGTCGTCAAGTTTTATATATTTAAAAGAAATAGTTTTCGTTTTTATCATCTGCAGTTTAGTGTAGTCGCTATGTTATCAATGCTTTGACAGTTTCAGTCGGTCATAACAGTACAATAAATCGTACATTTAAAATAATATTACAAAAAGTAGAAAATTGTTTTTAATTGTAAAATTTGTTTATGTTTCTAGATATTTGCCGAATGATGGTAGTCACGCATCCGAATTGTACCACGTGATACTGCGTTCATGGTGCACGTCGGGTCATTGCATTGACTAGCGCAGTACTGCCCACCATCGCTGTCACTCGACGGCTTTTTTGTGGCTAGGCGAGGACAAGAGGACAGTGCGGCTGGAGCTCGTGCAGTTTAAGAGTTTCTACGTTGTGTTTTCGCGAGTCTCGCACAAGGAAAAAGGAATAGCAAGAGCGCGGGGTGACGCAGGAGTGAGACACGAACGGTGTGTGTGAAAACCACCGTCAACAGTCAATCGGAAAGTACGGCTGACGTGTTTTTCCCGCCGGATTGTCGCGAGGCTGGGGCGCAGGCACCCAGCGATCGTCGCAGGCAGTTCGAGGCAGTTAGTTATCCAGCGGCGGCAGCAGCGGCAACAGCCGGTCGGATGTGTCGTTAGTGTGTATGCATCACGCACGTGCAATACCGACTCGTCGTCTCCGTTGTGCCTACATACGTGCGTGCGGGCGTGCATGCTGCTCAGTGTCTCGGGACCGAGAAACCGGAATATACGAGACGAGTGTGTTCCGCGCGTATACTCGCGGAGGAGCAGCTGAAGTGCGCGAGTGGTAGTGAATACACGGCGAGAGAAAGAAAGAGAGTGTGGCAAGACGCAGCCGGAGAAGAAGAGGAGAGAAAGATGAGCAAGACGTGCGCTCGCTGCGAGAAGACGGTCTATCCGATCGAGGAGCTCAAATGCCTCGACAAGGTACGTAAACTTCCTTTCGATCCCCCTTTGTCCGTCGCACTCGAACGGAATTCGAATTCTCGAGTCTGAACTTCGAAGGAGGCGCTTTTCATAAAAAAAAAAGTGAGAAGGAGCGAGGGAATGGGTCATCGCGGGAGAGATGTTCTGTTCCCGTTCGGCTCCATTGAGTAGGGCTCGGCCCAGCGGCCTTCATGCCAATCGACGGTCTCTCTCCATCGTGCATGCATGCGTGCATGCGTGCGTGCGTGCGTGCGTGATGCACGCGTGTGTAACGTCGCTCCATGCTAGCTTCGAAGGGAGCCAGCCGTCTACTTGTTGCGCTGCGACGCCACGCGAACGAACACGTAGTCGTAAAATGCACTACGTTTAATTTTTATTGACGTTACGAGTCGAGTCTAAAAAAAAGTCGTCTACTTATTACGCCGTGCCGTTCTCGCGAGTTTGACGTACAAAGGCTACGCTGATAAGGTCCCCGACACTGTCACAAAGATGAGACACGGCACGATATGATATGAATGATTATACGACTAGTGCGTATTGAAAATTGTCAGACTAGTGCATTCAAATAAATTTGCTGTTATTTATTTCACACAATATTTAAAAATATAAAGAGAAATAATACACACCAAATAGAATTAGCTGGATCTTTGTGTTGATTATTTATTGTGCTACGTGGATGCGGCTAACGGCGAGTTTATTTTTAGTCACGGTAAATAAAGAGAATTTAAAGAGGTAAAGGTCAGAAGATGACGCAGGATGTCCCATTCGATCCTGTCGCACGCACATCGACTGACTTGAGAATTGATTCCAGTTCCAATGATTCTATTTTCACGATGTTTATTTGCTTTATTGGTCTCATTTATAAAGTGTCTCGATCAAAATAATAATGATAGAATTTTCTAAAGAATAATGTTAAATTTTAAAAACTTTAGAACATTTAATGGGATTTACCGAAAAATAGATTTGATCTTTGAACCGGATAAATGCTTGAATAAATATCAAATTACATTTTTATTAAAGATACATTTTTTAACTTATAATAATATAGGAATCTATTGTTTACGGAGATTTTCCTCGTATAATTTTCTCTCTTCCGATCATTATAATTGAATATAATTCTATTTATGGTGTATGGAACGGGTATGAGGATTTTTCGAGAGACAGAGAGGAATGGAGTGGGAGAGCATGCAGGATGTACCGTTCGCGTACCGATTGCAATGGTTTGACTGCAAGTTGCTGCACATAGAGTGGCTTTTACACCAGCTCAGTCAGCGTTATAACTCGTATCTACAAATTGAGAACATGACAAGTTTAATATTTATAATTAAAAAATATTTATTAAGAATTTTACTTTTTATTATATTTTCCTAATAAAAAAAAAATAAATTATGACAGGAAGAGACGGCAATCTAAAAAAAAAGTAATAAAAAAAAATATCAGCATAAAATGCATAAAATGAAGCACATTATTTATTCGCTTATTTATTTTATTTATTTGCTTTTTTTCTGAAGTCGTATATTGTGCAACGCGAGAAACGACATTCCGCGAATACCAGTTAAAGAAGGTCGACGTTACTTACGTACTACACCAACGATAGTTCAGTTTATATCTGTTGAAACAAGTTTTATGTATTCGCGCGTCGGCTGCATTTTGAGCAATAAGATGGCAGGATATGCATTCTCGTTCAACTCGTTGTGTAGACTCTTCTGACTCCATTCAAGATAACTCCCGTTGAAATTTATTTCGTTTTAACCATTCACCATTCATGTGGAATGTGGCGAGCGCTCTTTTACTTCATTCACTGTATGTGCCAACTTCCGCTTTAGTCGAGGAAAAACCTTGAAATGCCGGATTTATGAGTCGCATTTTGTTCGAAACTATTCTGAACAGAGCGAATTCTGCGCGGATCCTTGTGGGTCGTGCTAAGTGTTTTTAACGAAAGATCATGCGTGCAGTTCTCATTTACTATCATTTGCTGTGCCAATTTATTCGACTTCACTCCTCCGAAGTTTTAAATTAAACATCCGATTGCATTATTTCAATCTTGCGATATTAATACTTCAGTTTATTTAAATTTATTATTTAAATACACGCTTATACAGATAAAAAAGTATAATATTAGTTTTTCACAGAAACTATGTCGCAAATTTATGACAATTTTGCAGCTTTTTTTCATTTTTATCCACGTCATTATGAAGGGTTTTAAATTAAATTGTATTGTTAACAAAATTTTTTAGAGTCAATTAATTATTGTATACATAAAAGTAAATTTTGATTAAATATGTTTTTGTAAATTAAAAAAGAAGCTGAACAAACGATGGTCTTAAAAAGGCTGTATGAAAAATTTGTTTCAATTATGATAGAAAAGAATTATTTATTCAGAATTAGATCTTTAATCAGTAGCTGGTTTTTTACGGTTGTTGTTGAAGCAGTTGACTCATTATGTAGCGGACTAAAAGTTTTTTTGCGATAGATTACAGGATGTACCGTTCTCGTTTAGTTCCGCTCACCGAGTCGTCCTCCGTTCCATTCCGCTGCGATATTCCTCGTCTCGTTTATCCTTACGTTGAATGACCGATACTGAACGGTCTCTCGCAGAGCAAGGGAGGAGAGGAGTCTCTTCCCTTTAGTCATTTTTACGCCGAATGTTCCTGCCATAAATACAGACTTTGCACCAAAGATTTATTTACTTTGTTTTATCAGAAATAAACTCGGAAGCGAAGCTGTACGCACGAATTTTGGAGCTGTGCGTCTGTCTTTATTTAAGATAATCGGTTTGCTATTATTTTTATTATCCATTTAATCCGCGGGTATATTTTTGTATCCTTATTCTAGTCAGTAAATTATTTTTATATTTTTTTATATCTGCTCTAAATGAAGTCTTGGGCAGTGAATAATTTATACAATTTTGTCATTTTATTCCGCGACTACGGTGAGAGACTTATTAATAAGATACTTATTAATAAGACTTATTAATAAGTATCGTATTAATAAGATAAGAGTTAAAAGTAACCGCGTAGGTGATGTTTGAGACGTATCTCAGTTACACCGCTCGCTATTAGAGGGTTAATAAAACCCGCCAGGCGAGTTAACGGGGTTTAAATCACGTGGGCGGTATTCCGCGCCACGAGAACGAGTTTCGGGCGTTCGAGAGGAGATAGAGGAAGTCAGCATTCTAAATTTGGATGTATCGGGCCGCATGATCGCTACGTTGGTTTTTTCTAAATCCTCTCCTGCGCCGCGTGTATTTATCGCGCACGCATCCGTTTTTGGCGCTTCCCACAAAGGGAACAAAAGGAAATCTTGTACCGCAACGTGAAGCTTATTTCATGAAAAAGAAAGATATTCTAAGAAATATCAATTAATTTTAGTCAATCAGATTTCATAACGTTCACCAGATTTTGTGTTATAAAATTTTTCAAATTCTAAACAAATTATTCGAATATTTTTTAATATCTAGTGTAGCAATTTGGAATAAATATTTCCTCATTCAACAATTTCGTTGCATATTATTAAATACACAAATTACTCGATTTAAATTTTAAGACAAACTGAAAGTAGCGATTACCTTTTTTCTCGTTAGATTACTTGTGAAGCGGTTTTACGTACTTCGCGTGTAGATCGTTGTTTACACCCGAGCTTACGCCTGTTCCCACCGCGCGTTCTCTATGTCTCGTGAAATTGCGGTTGCAACTGCATCTCTTTCCCGTTCACTTGGATAAACGGAGGAAAGAGAAAAGAAAGAAATAGAAGTATGGCGCGATATGAGAAGGAATTGAGATGGGACCCATAACGTAACAGGCGCACGAGTTAAAGCGTACACGAGAGATAATTAAGGTGAAGGGTTTAATAAAGGAAAATGTTCGTAGTTAGCCGGTCTCTTCCTCGTCGGGCGAGGCGAGGAAACTTTTATGAAAACTCGCGATAAACCAGTGGTGTCTTTTGGCTTCTTTCTCTCCCTTTGCGTGCGTTACTTTCTAATAGTTGAACGCCTGCCCATCGCAGTTAGAATGACCTTTCCGACCGAACTTTTATTCTTGGACGAAAAGTCTGTATAGCTTCAATGCCGCGTGTTTCTGGAATCTTTTAAACACACATTAATTCAAGATTTTACTTTCACTGTTGTGTATAAGGGGCAATTTTTAAATAATTTACGCACAGCAGATATAATTACACGCGTTGCTTTCATTAATTTATCTTTGTGCAAACGTTTTCGTAATTATTACAAATGATAGCAGTGCAGCAAAATACGTGTGAAAATTGTAGCAAAACAGTACAAGCAGTAAAGAGTTATGTTGGATGTCAAATGAGCAAAGATATTAATGCTTGGGGATGCTTAAATTTACTAGGCATCTTGTTTATTTCTTTTCTTATCTCGCGTTATGCAACCCGCATTCTACCCATGTTCTAACTTACACATGCACGCACACACACACAAAAATCAGTAACATGACGATTAATCTACGTTCTATTAGTGAAGAGCGGTTACTTGTCTGTTTTTCAGCCTCTTCTCTTGTCTCTTGTATATTGGCAACACATTTTTTTATCGTAAATAGCTGTCATTATTTCGGGCGTAGTTTTGAATTTATGTCTCGATGTTTTGGACGAGTTTCATTATTATTTTCTTAAAGATCCTTTCGATCTGATTAGAAGCTCAGCAATTTCAGTATTTTTCAATATATTTATGTTGATTATAAATTAATATTTTTTCATTGCAATACATTTATACACTGCAATTGTTATTTTAAAAAATTCTGAAATATTAATTACTTCTTGAAAATATTAATTATATAATTAAACGTCAATTTCGTCGTATATTGTAACAATAATTTTTATATAAATTCTATAAGCTAATTGATTTTGTTATTAATAAATTTTTAATAGTTTCCAAAAGCGGAATAATTTTTATCGGCAAGTGCAAGACGACGGTATTAATTTCGATTTGTATGTGCGATATGTATATATATAGCAGTTGACCTGCAGCGAAACTGCAAACGAAT